TCATCAACCTCAACACCATTAGATGAAACTACAAACCCAAGAAAGTTAACTTTTTCCATGCAAAAGCTACATTTCTTTAAATTTACGTACAAACATTCGTTTCTTAAAGTAGTCAAAACATTGCGTACATGGGTAATATGATCATCTAAAGATTTAGAGTACACAAGGATGTCATCAAAATAAACAACCACAAACTTACCTAAGTATTCTCGTAAGACATGATTCATTAGTCTCATGAATGTACTAGGTGCATTAGTTAATCCAAAAGGCATAACCAACCATTCATAAAGACCATACTTGGTTTTAAAAGCTGTTTTCCACTCATCCCCAATATGCATGCGAATTTGATGATAACCCGATTTTAAATCAATCTTAGTAAAAAGACTACATCCATGCAATTCATCAAGCATATCATCTAATCTGGGAATTGGATGCCTATACTTTATAGTTATCTTGTTTATAGCCCTACAATCAACACACATACGCCAAGAACCATCTTTCTTAGGTACAAGAATAACTGGAACAGAACAAGGACTCAAACTTTCACGTACATACCCTTTAGCAAGGAGTTCACTTACTTGCCTTTGTATCTCTTCAGCCTCCTTTGGATTAGTCCTATAAGCTGGTCGGTTTGGAATGGGCGCGCCAGGAATGAAGTCAATCTTGTGTTCAATCCCTCTAAGTGGTGGCAAACTACTAGGCATCTCCTCGGAAAATAAATGTTCAAACTCTTGCAAAAGCATAACAAAATCACTAGGCAAAGAAGGGTTAAGCATGTTAGTAAAGTAACAAGACCCCTTGCACATAAGTACAAGAATAGTCTGGTTAGAGAGCAAAACATTCCTAGCCTCACTTGATCTAACATACAAGCTTACTGATTTGGCTTTTCTCTCTTTTTTTTCTCTAGGCTGAGTGTTACTCTCTTGCTTTTCACTCAAGCTCTTTTTTTCACTTGATTCTTTTTCAATCTCTGCTTTTGCATCAGCCTCTTGCCTTTTCTTTTCAAGTTTGCAATGATCAATAAATACATCTTTTGGAGACAATGGGATAAGAGTAGTTTTTCTACCGTTGTGAGTAAAGGAGTATCGATTTGCATACCCATCATACATTACCCGACGATCAAATTGCCATGGCCTCCCCAGTAGTAAATCTCCAACATGCATGGATACAACATCACATAAAACATCATCAACATATTTTCCAATTGTAAAAGAAACAAGAGTTTGTTGAGTTACCCGTACTTCCCCACAATCATTCAACCATTGAAGCTTGTAGGGTCTTGGATGTGGTTGTGTCTTTAAATTAAGTCTTTTGACCAGAATGGAACTCACAACATTGGTGCAACTACCGCTATCAATGACAACACTACAAGGTACAGATTGAACAAGACACCGAGTTTGAAACAAGTTCTCCCTTTGGTCTAGGCCGTCCTCCTTAATGTGGGTGTTTAGAGCTCGTCGAGTAACCAAAGATATATGTGTAGGGTCCTCTTCACTAAACTCCTCACTCTCATCAGTTTCCTCATTTATGTCGTCATGTGCCTCGTCATCCGTAACAATTTCTCCCTCCTTGATGGTCATAATTCTTGCATTTGGGCAATCTCTACTATAGTGTCCTACCCCTTGACATCTCCAACACTTTAAATCCCTATTTCGAACATTAGACTTTTCTACTTTTTCTTTCCCTGTTCTAGAACTCTCCCCTTTCTCAAATTTAGCTTGAGGCTTCTCATTAATCTCTTGATTTCTATGCTTATAATCAATGCTCTTACTATCCTTTTTCCATGTAGAAGTAGAATTGGGAAAAGTTTTAGAAGAATACCGTTGAGACCTTCGTTGGATTTGCCTCTCGATCTTAATTGCAATGTGCAACAACTCCTCAATATTAGAATAAGGCTGTAAATCAGTCTTGTCTGCAATCTCTATGTTTAACCCATTAAGAAACCGCGCCATGAGAGCCTCCATGTCCTCATCGAGTTCAAGTCGATCCATCAATGTATCCATCTCCTTGTAATAATCCTCCACAGATTTGCGTCCTTGTTTCAACGCTTGAAGCTTTTGCGCCATGTCCCGTTGAAAATATTGTGGAACAAAATGCTTCCTCATGGACTCTTTGAACTCGACCCATGAATCAATTGGTGCTTCAAGATTTCTTCTCCTACTTGACATCAATTTATCCCACCAAATTTGAGCATATTGTTTGAATTGAGCAATGCATAACAGTACCTTCTTTTCATCACTAAAATTATGGCAGTTGAACACTGACTCCACCGTTTTCTCCCATTGAAGGTACTCCTCTGGATCGGTTTTGCCATAAAACTTGGGAAGTTTTAATTTGATGCTCCCCACGTTACGATCAATTCTATCATCATAAGGAACTCGTTGTTGTAAATTATGATACCTTCTTCCATGGTCTCTCCCTCGCATCAAGCCAGGACCAACCGCATGTGGATTATCCTCGTGGTGATCAGAATTGTCGCCTTCATATGTATCGGTTGAGGGCGTAGGTTGTGGAATCCTCTGTCGTGCTTGATTTTGAATCTCCAATCTTCCTATTCGATCAGTCAACTCTTCTATTCCTCGAATTAGTCTTTCCATAGTTCGTTGTTGTGCTTCTCTCAATCGTGCATCAGTAATGTTAGTATTGTCGTCTGGATTTTCCATGCTACAAAAGAAAGGTAAAAGAAAAAAAAAAAAGGACCTCACAAGCGCTCCCTCACGTGTATTCACTCGTAAATGTAGTTCACTCGTGTTTAGCACTCAACACTCGAAGCAATGTGTCACTCCCTTACAAACTCACCCTCACAATTGAGCACACACAAATCACACTCCAAAAAAACAAATTGGGATGTGAGACAAGCTATGTTATAGAGCTAAGTGCAATTCAAAGTGAATAGACAGCACACTCAACACATAAACAAGGGTATTGAAGGAGCAATCCGAATAACGACAAAGAAACGAATTAAAGAAAGAAAATGATTAAGGACTAATTTAGACGTAGTAACATATGAGAGTTACATATAGTAATCAAGAGGAAAAAAGAAAGGCATTTAACATCATATGCTTTCTTTATTTCAATGGTTTTTTTTTTCTTCTGATTGGCAAAATCTAAACAATTTACCAACAAGAAAATTGATTTAGAAGATCTTAAAGAAGAACAAAGTGTTGATAAGATCCAGATCTAACACTTTAAAGAACATAAGAATTTTTTTTTTTTTTTTGTTATATATTTTTGTGATAGAACATGAACATTCTACACAAACTGAGAAAAAAAATTATAAGAAAATTAAAAGAGATAAGCGCAATGAAACATATATCCGATCGTGAGCCTAAAGCTCTGATACCAAAATGATATGGAAATCAACCCAAGGGAAAGTATGGAACGGATTACCTTGATGATCAAGATCAAGAGTAAAGAAAACTCGTTTCTAAACTCGTGATTCGAATCACTCCACAAGAGGTTTGATCAATACCACTTGAATGACTCTACATGCAAGTTCTAAACACAAGAATTTGCAAAGAAAGTTTAGCTCTTAACAAAGCTAAAATAGAAATTCTATTCTTAATTCCAAAATCTGATGTCTAATCAAAGAAAAGAAGGCTTTATATAGCCTTTACAACCTTAACCTATGTCATACATAACTCCCAAATTAAATGGGCTAGTAAATGAGAAATACCCATAACCTCCATATTTAAATGGCTAGTTAATGGTGGAATATAGTAACCTATGTGGGTTACAATATAACCTTAACTCCTATATTTAAAACTAGTTTAAATATGACAAACAAATAGTTAAACTATAATTAAATAATGCAAATAATAAAATGTGCTTATTAGTCATCCTTGGACTATTTGATAAATTCAGCGGAGTTCATTAAATGCAACTTAAAGTGCATTTAATTCATCTCTTTCTTGAACCTCAACTTTGCACAACATATAAGGGAGGTCTCCAGCGTCTTCTAGAATTTCCTTTGATGAGCTCACCATAGCTTGAATATAACTGTATAAAGTTTGTTGTAGCTTCTTGGCTCTCGTCCTTGTAATTGGACCTTGAGGTATGGAAATTCCTTGGTCGTGGTTCATATCAAAGAGTGTCCTAAAATTTTCTTGAGTGTATACTCGTGAGAGAGTGTTGTGAGGTCCTTTGTATTTCCATAACTTATTTTTTGCAAAAAAGTTTCACAAATAGGTTCGAGGACGAATCCTCTTGAAGAAGTGGAGAATGATATAAACCAAGAGAGATCAATCATACAATAAACTTCAATGAAGATGTGAAGAAAAGGTTGTCAAAATTATCAAAAGATGCTTCAATTCATGCTACATTGAAGAAGAATAAAGTGTGATTGTTGTAAATTTTGGGTGGGTTACAATTTAGAGTAATTTAGAGTTATTGTATTTTAAGACATTTTATTTACTTTAGGTTACATTTACATAATGGCTAATTATAGTCATTAAGTATGAATGTTACGTAATGCATAGTTTCATTTTGAGGCTATATAAAGCCATGTATGTTATATTTGTAAGCAAACTTGGAAAATATAGTAAAAGAAGCATTTGTTCTCTTCTTTAGCCAATGGCTAAGTTTCTTTGCAATTCTATGTAATTTAAGTTGCATGTAGAATCATTCAAGCTTGACATGATCAATCTTGCTTGTGGAGTGATTCGAATCTCAATCAAGTGTTATTGCCTTGAGATATTTGATCAACAAGAATCATTCAAGGTAGACATGATCGATCTTGCTTGTGGAGTGATTCGAATCTCAAACAATATTTTTTCCTTGAGATATTCGATCGACAAGGTAATCCAAATCCTACCCCCCTTGTAGTTGATTTCCTTATCTTATCATATATCATGGTCATATCATTTCATAAACGTATCATAGTCATGTCATTTCATAGACATAGTCTTATCATATCGTTTCATAAATATATCATCGTCATCTCATTTCATAAACACATCTTAGTCATACCATTTCATACACATATGCTAGTCATATCATTACATAAACATATCATAGTCATGTTATTTTCTAAATGTATCATAGCCTTATCGTTTCATAAACATATTCTAGCCATATTGTTTCATAAACATATCCTAGTCGTGTTGTTTCCTAAACGTATCCTAGTCATATTGTTTCATAAACATATCTCAGTCATATCATTTCATAAAGATATCTTAGTCATATCGTTTCATACAGACACCATAGTCACATTGTTCCGTAAACATTTCACACATATCAAGCATATATCACGTATAGAAACCACGAGGCACATGTCATGATACGAACATCAACTTTTAACCAAACCGTTAGTAAGGTCACTTACTTGGTTTGCATTAGCAGGTGTTCTCCTTACACTTGAGTACAATTGACTATGTGAATTTTAGATCCCGACCTTAAGGCAATTGCTACATGTTAATTTATGTCATATTACTCGGTTAAAAACTACAAAATAATCTCTCTTTTTTTTTTTTTTTTACAATTATTATAGGTTACCACTACTCTAAAAGAGTTGAGTTTGAGTTATGTCGAGGTTGAAAATGAAAAATGTTGTCATTTGTTATTCAAAAGTGAAAATAAAAACTCATACAATTATGCTATAATTTTACTTATGAACATTCCTTGGAATATCATATTCACAATTAAGTCCTTACTTAATAGTCAATCATTATTATTCTCCCCGAAGAAGGAAATTTCATGCGCTGTTCTTAAGAGCCTCAACACTGTCTCCGTTTTCCTCTATTTCATCAACGTAGTCCTCTTGAACCAAAAGACATATATCATACAATATACTTCAATGAAGATGTGAAGAAAAGGTTGTCAAAATTATCAAAAGATGTTTCAATTCATGCTACATTGAAGAAGAATAAAGTTTGATTGTTGTACATTTTGGGTGGGTTACAATTTACAGTAATTTAGAGTTATTGTATTTTAAGATATTTTATTTACTGTAGGTTACATTTACATAATGACTAATTTTGACCATTAAATATGAATGTTACAACTCTTGGAATGCCTTTATAGTTTTATTTTGAGGCTATATCAAGCCATGTATGTTGTATTTGTAAGGCAGACTTGGAAAATATAGTAAAATAAGCATTTATGCTTTTCTTTAGCCAATGGCTAAATTTCTTTGCAATTCTATGTAGTTTAGGTTGCATGTAAAATCATTCAAGCTCAACATGATCAATCTTGCTTGTGGAGTGATTCAAATCTCAAACAAGTGTTTGAGATATTTGATCAACAAGAATCATTCAAGGTAGACATGATCGATCTTGCTTGTGGAGTGATTCGAATCTCAATCAAGTGTTCTTGCCTTGAGATATTCGATCAACAAGGTAATCCGAATCTTACTCCCCTTGTAGTGATTCCTTATCTTATCAGTAAAGGATGTGATTTGGAAAGAGAAGTTACAGGGCAATGTTGAAGAAAATAGAGAAATTGGTGCTCTTAAAAAAGGCACCTCGAGGAACGGATTTTCATTGGTAAGGATAGTACAAAGAGAAGTATCCTGCAATAGAAGAAGCAAGAAAAAACGCAAGGGAAAGATATCCGAGGGCCACAGTTGGGTCCACTGGATATTGACAGATAATAGTGCCTTTGACTAGGATGGGAGTTCTAGATGCAGTCTGCCCATAAGGAATCACAACAAGAAAGGATAATGACCATCAACGAGGGAGCTTGGAAAATTATATGATATTGCATTGGTTGGGAGCTTCTCATCTTGTTGTGATTGTTTCAAATGCACAAATATCTACACAATAAGAATCAAACAATTTGTGTTAGTGAAAAAGTGAGTAATTGAAGGGTTGATAAGAAGATTGTATTAGGAAGAGTAAGAATGCTCTATATATATATAGGAGAGAATACAAAAAAATATTTAGAAAATCTACCTAAAAATATCTGAAAATCGGGTAACAAACATGTAAAGAAATAAAAAACTAAATTAAATCAAAACTAAATCAACTCCTAGCTAGAAGGAGATTTAATAAGATACTAATTGATAGCAATCTAAATAAACACGTGACCTTTAACCCTCCTTGTTTAGATGTTGTGAACTCCAAGCTTTTTCCTGAACACCTATCTTACTCCAATTATCTTTCTGTTTAGAGGTCGATCAACCAATTCCCTGGTTTTGTTTTTCTTGATCACCGAAAGCTCCTCCTCTGACAGGTGCATC